ATTTGTGTCTTCAGAGTACGCCGAGGCCCTGACCGATCCCATGAATCCACGCGGAAGAGAGACACAACTGGCTGTGCTCCTGGAGGAGAACTATGAGGTGCCCGCATGATTGCGTGACTTATTTTGGGAGTTTTAGGCGCTTTCACTTACAAGTCCACTGGCTCCTCCATAGCATACCCCCAACCAGCCCGGAGAAGGAGAGGCCAAGAGGGAGTGCGAAGTTATCCAAGGGGGCGTCATATCGCCCTTCCCCGCTCCTTGCCGACCCGACGAATGTCCCGATATCATCCAGCCAGGTAGCGACGGATGCAAAAAGTTTGACCTTCTCTACATGTCATTAGCGCTTTTTTGCCGCTGCGCGATTTGCTTCCCGTGCAAAAAGTTTGACCTTCTCTACATGTCACTTACAGATTAGCGCTTTTTTGCCGCTGCGCGATTTGCTTCCCCATCCTCCATTTCACACGTCTGCTTCTCCCTCCTTCCTTTGTGCGCGTTTGCGTAGTGCAAAGCCAAAAGGAAGACCTCATCGCTGCTGTTCTAGCAGGTAACACCATGCCGCCCCATCACTTTCGACACGTGTGTCCGTGTCTCCATCCAAGTGCACGTTTGTCCACCTCCCCACACTTACGGCAAATAAATGCCTGATATTCAATTTTGCTCACATCTCTCAGACGTGCAGGCGCAGACGATAGAAGAGCTGAAGCAGACCAAGAACTACTTGAAGCTCATGAAGAAGCAGAGCAAAGAGCTCAAAGAGTTACGAAAGAAACATCTGAAGAAGGTACACACACATCAATTTTAAGTTAAATGTGGCGGTAGAAGAACAGCACTGTATTGTACAATATGAAAAATGTGACAAATTTAGAGCCGTGTATGGTCTGGTTTGTTCAATCAATTTATTGGAAGAGATGGAGAAACAGGAAATGAATGAAGTTACAACTCAACTTTGTTTAGTGTTGGGTCCTTGACACAGTTCTTTTGGCATTTTATATTGTGGCCTTTGGACAGATTTTGGAAAAAAAAATGCTGAAGGAAATGGATTTATAGCGAAAACTATATGTGGTCTCTTTGAAACTTGGGGACTGCAGTGATGTTGGAGACCAAATTTAAGTTTGAACACTATTAATAGATTATCACTTCACATTGAAGGATAACATGACTGAAACAAGCAATAAAATTAAAAATGTATATATTAAACTATGCCGCCCATTGATTAATTGCGAGACTCGAGTTCCTTTTACATGTTTATTGCACAGCAACACACCGCAGCACACCGTAGAACTAAAAGTTCCGAAATACAACATAAGACATTTACGACAAAGACAGCTTTGCTTAGCCCAACGTTTATCAGGACAGACAAGGCAAAATAGTACTTGGGCCTGCTTTCAACCAACGGCAATCTTCTCCCAGGGATAATCCTTCCAGTCAAAAATGTGATGCTTCAACAAACATATGATATTAACTTTGAATATTCACTCGGCTTGGGCAAATCAACGAGAAACGGGGGAGGGAAAAGTCAGCAACATGGACGGCAAATGCCGCTAAGAGTGCTTCTCAGCTTCTGCGGCTGCGTAAAGGCTACGGAGAGTCTGTAAAACGCAACTTCCGGTATCACATTTTCAAAGTAAAATCCCGATTTCAAAATAAAGATGCGACGAATTGCATCAGCTTTCTGAGAGCAAATCTTGCGCCAGTCCATTTACTTTGTAACACTGTACTGTGTGTGTGTGTGTGTGTGTGTGTGTGTGTGTGTGTGTGTGTGTGTGTGTGTGTGTTAGGTGTGGAATCTGAGTAAAGAGCAGAAGACTCGAAGTACTCAGCTGGATTCTGATGTGCAAAGGAGGCGCAGTCAGATGGAGAAACACTTAAAACGCAGCGTCAAAAAGAAGTAAGACTCTGTAAGAGTGGCGTAGAAGCAACAGGCCCATGATGCCACCTCATGTGTTGTCCTCCTTGTTCAGCGAGCCCCAAGAGCCGGTGCAGCGAGAGCTCTTGGCCCTGGATCAGGAGCATGAGAAAAAGACGGTCCAGCTCAGGGAATGGCAGATGCAGGAACTACTGAAGCTGCGGCAGCAGCTGCACTTGCTGGAGAGGGAGAAACAGCAAGCGTACCTGCAGGAGGTGCACGGAGTCCCTTTCGCCCAAAGTTGACCAGTCGCTCACCTGCGAGTGTCACTCACCCGCTTGTGCCCGTTGTATCTTTTCAGTCTTTCCAGAAGTTGAAGGAAACGGCACATGAATGCCAAGCAGCTCAACTCAAGAAGCTCAGGGAGATTTGCGAGAGGTATGCGTGGCCCCGTTGGTGAGGGATTCAGGACCGGCGTTAGAACTTTTCTTTCAGCGTTTTGATTTTCCTGCTCACAGGGAGAGGAAAGATCTGCAGAAAATCCTGGATAGGAAACGGCAGAACAGCATCAGTGAAGCAAAGAGCCGGGACAAAGACAAGGCTGAGATGTAACTGGTTACTCATATATTCATGCGTTTGTCATTATTCATTCATTTTGACTCCAACGCTTTTCTTCTTCCCTCACATCTGCAGAGAGCTGAATGACATCAACAGGAAACACATTAATGAATCTGTCAGCTTAATACACAGGGTGAGCACACTTGAATAAAACTATATTTGGATGTGTGTGGATTTATTTATTGATCGAAGCCTTTTTAATCCCTGACCCGACTTTCCCGTACGTGTTTTCCCTCCGCCGCAGCTGGAGGAGGCTCAGAAGAAGAGGCTGGAGAAGCTGAAGCTCAGGCAACGAGAGGTGCTGCAGCACATCGACGACGAGCTGCCGGCGGTGAGCGACTATCGCTTAGGTCCACGTCAAAGGCTGGTTGCAAAATGTGCAAAGTAGAGACGGCAGAAGTGCTCACAATGTACTTGAGTAGAAGTACAGAGTTGACATTAAAAAAAAAAAAATTGTAGTACAAGTACTTATCCAACTCCTTTTCGTATAATAAAAAAAACTACGGCTCTGAAATATACTTGCTTAAAAAATATTTTTTTGCTGTCAATTATAGCAGTAATGGTTGAGGGTTTTTTTTCGTATTTATTTTTGCCCCTTCTCGCTGTGCAGCTTCAGGTCGAGCTGGATAGCAACCTGGAGGACGAGTATCGGCGGCTCCCAGAGGAAATCTGCCAGCACTTGCAGCTGGAGCTCCAAAACAAAGGTCTGAGCAATAACGCCCTTTGCTCGCCCATGTCCAACAACAGCAGTCCGGGCTCAGGCTCCGGTTCGGGCCCGCCCTCCAACTGCTCCACGCCCAGCAACCCGTCAACGCCTAATCGCAGCATGTGCTACAGGAGCACGGACACCATCACGCCTCCTTTGGACGGCTCCATGTCCTCGTCCTCCACGCCCGTCCATTCTGAGTTGGAGATGTCCTTCACTTGAAGTTGTTCTTTGTACAAATGGGGGCTGTAATGATTTTAATGCGGGATAGTAAGTAGATAGATTGTGTACTAATGAGATTCCTTTTTTTTTTTTTTTTTTTACTTGGTTCTTGTCCATAGAGCTCTGTTATTTTTTACTTTTTATCATCGGACATATCAAAATCATGAATAGCAAAAACATGTTCCTACTTTTACTATTGCTTGATTTTCCCGGTAACCACTGAGTGATTAAGATTTGCTGTCCCGTTTCACTTTTTTACGACTTGTGGTACTGTCGAGTGGGAAAAAAATCCCAGGAATCCTTCATGCCCGCAATTGGAACCGCTTGACGAATTTGTAGCTGTAATGGCGGTAGTCGGCCAGCGTGTGGTGCTACAGCCTTAACAGTTTTTCCGCGTTGCACTGTGCAGTCATCTCTTCTGAAGAAGGCCATTTTACGACACACTACCATTCTTTGTTGTTGTTTTTTTTGTTTTGTTTTTAACAAATTGTGTTGCACAAATATAACGGTACTTTAATTTATCAATGTTTTCTTTTGTTATAACCGTAAATCTCCGCCCTCCTTTCTTTCTTTCCGCCAAAATCTTTTCCTATGGAATTGAAGGGGTTGATCGATGGCACTCGTTGTAAATATTCCCTGTGCGTATGTTGTTGGTTGTTATGTGAATTTTACTACTGACTACAGGTGCTGGAGCGGGAGTTCGGGAGAGTTGACATCTTTATTTTTTCGTCTGCTCTCTCCTGATCCTCCTCACTCTGAAAGCACCGGCTGCCTGTCTGTCTGAATGTTTCCTCTCGCAAGCATGTTCTTTGTCAACTCTTACCTTTTATTTAAATGGCATTTTAACATCTCCTGCGTCCGTGGGTGTTTTTTTTTTTTCCTCAGCACTCTGAGAACAGGAACTGACCTCCATTTAAATATCACCACACAAAAATTTGTCATATGAATTGCTGTTTTAAAAATTCTATTATTGACTATGGCTAAACGATTTAGAAAAAAATATATATTTTATTCCCCCTCAATAATGCGATTGCGATTTAAAATGCGATTTTTTAAGGTACTCTTCCCAAGATTTTTTTTAACGAAGGCAATAAATTAAACTATTATCACCATCTATGAGAGTTATTGAACATATTTAGGTTTTTACACTAAAATGAAGGCAGATGAACCACAAATGAATGTGAAAGACAGTTTACAGTCTCCTTAACCGAGAGGTGTGACCTTCCAAAACACTTCATTCATTCATATGTGAATTTTACGACACTTACTACTTTCTGGCAACTTCACAAAATTCTAGCAAATAAGTATGTGTGCTGTAAACAAGTCAAATTGCAACAGTAATGCAAATTTGGACATGATTCTGGCAACTTCACAAAACTCTAGCAAATAAGTATGTGTGCTGTAAACATAAGTCAAATTGCAACAGTAATGCAAATTTGGACATGTATATCAAAAGTAAAGTCCTTTTTTCAAAATTGTAACCTTTGCAATTTGAAAATTGCATTTTATTACATGGCAATGGTTTGAATTTAATTAATTGTTCAGCCCTATAGAGACCTCACATTTGACTACCAATTTTGTGTTTACGCCCCCCTACCCCCAAGTGGT